GAGTTATTCTGATCGATGGACGTAACTGAGTGGAACTCCATAAAGGTGAGGACAGAAGTACAAGAGTTAAGACCAGCTTCCGCAGAAAAACCTCGCCTTAACTAGTTACGAACTTTAAATATTTTATCTGGTTATAATTTACTAAATGAAATAAAAATCTTATTTAATACCTTTACATGATTTCATTGACAGACCTTTCGCCGCCATACGGCAAGTTGGGCGCACTTTTCATTCCTTTCTCTTTTTACATTTTCATCATGTTTAATAGTTAAATGCGCATTAATCACCACTCTTCTACCTAGATTCATCTATTCCCATCAACATCTATTCCCTGCTCGTCTTTTGTTTCCTTAATCCTCCTGTTTCCTTAATTAAGGTACAAAATACCGCACCTGCCTAGTTTCGTCAACAGCTCTAAAGCCAATAAATGCCTCAGATTGACTCAGGTTAAGGTCTATGAAGGACCCATCTCTAATTTTCTTGGCACAATCTCGGTTTACCATCCTTTAATTTAATTTAAAAGCATGCAACACATTAAAAATTTATTTTGAGGTATTCAATTAGTTAGGCTACGGAAAAGCAAATACCTCTGTAAGGAAATCGCGATTACTTTCCATCCAGATATGACCGTGTTTTACAATATTTTCAGGGAATTGTTTGAATTGTTGGCCTTCTTTCTACAACGGTCCAGTTACGCTCCTGAACTGCTCTCCATTCATACACCAAGGAATACTTACCTCTTTCATCAACTGATAGTTGGCAGAAGCGACAAAGGCAAGGATAAAGAATCCAGATAACATCCAGAATAGAGAACTACACATTGTAGCTGCATTCCAGTCAGTACCGTATTTGAAAATTCTTGGGTCGACAATAGAGTAGAGTAGGAAAGATAAACTCAGCAGTGTTTCCAATCCGACCACGACGTTTGGGACGCCGTAAATCCTCTCTGCTGATCTGTAAATGTTGTGAGAATCCAAAAGTAGGCTTATTAAACGCGGGAGATGTCTCGTGAAATACTCTTTTTGAGGATTTGAGGTCTCCATTTCTAGTAACGCTCTGATTTTTTCATTCGCACTTCGAACACATCCAAGGAGCAGGAATAATACGTTGTAAAACTGCCATTCTTGTTCCCTATGTACCGTGGTCCAAAACAGAAGCAAAGGAGTATATAGGGAGAAAAACGAATAATGTTCCTTGGTATTTTCAGACACAAATGTCAACGCAATTAAATTAACCGTGTGGATAATCAGCACTGCCGATTGGATCTTGACCACTGTTCGAATCCGTTTAGCAGCGAAGATCCCCGCAGAGTGCTCTTCCAACTGAGAAAGGTCTAAGTACATATCCGTGACTTGATATTTCCTCAAAAAATGAACGTATCCAGAAAGGGATGCCGTAAAAAGGATGATGGCAGACCAGAAAAGGTTGACTATCACTGCCAGGTCCAAGTGAAATTCATAAAATTTCACTGCGATTGCTGTACAGAGAGCTACGGAAGAGGAGAAACAGAAGAGAATAGTGTATCCAAAGAAGTTACAGGCTGCTATCATGTTACTGCGTGATGATGCATATCTCTTGATTGGGATCCCTGTTAATGCATTTATGGTGAACATCGGAGACAGTGCCCACAGTAGGTCCTCCTTAGACATTCTTCAATCGCGTGAGAGGATATTCTCTCTGTTTATCTATTTCTTCTTTAGTCGCGTATATTTGTTTAGAAGACGGAATTTCGGCCAGCGAGGCGAAGAAGTACGCTCATTGAATTCGACTCCGCGACAGCTGTGCGATCAATTTGTGAGTGATCGACTACCGAGCGCGTGAAATTACTAACTAATATTGTCCAAAAGAACACCTTAATCCCATCGTTGGCGAATTCTTATAAATAAAGGAGGAGGTTTCTACGTGTGCTGCTAGTCCCCCCTATACGCGTTCTTCTGTGGTCCTATCATTGTTAGCGAATTAAACACCGAGGAACACACACTTGATGTTACCTGATGGTAGGAGTATTCTACATCCACATGTACATAAATACCCTGCAAGCCGCCTTTCGGCGTATGGCAGGTGGTGTAAACACCAAGCTTTCGAGTAATTGCTTTAGCTTATTGTTTTTCATGTATAGTTAGCGGAAAGAGTGAGTCCCTAAAACGACTTGTTCTCGCATCTATTTCTCTTATTTTACGCTTTTTGTCGATAGTGTCGATAGATGTCGATAGCCGAAGTATAATGGGGGTCGCATATTACCAATACCGTCTTCCGAAAATTAACTTCCTCTGAATTTATCTAACAGTCGCAGTCTAGCTTCTAATATCCTTTCTTTCAAGGATTCCCAACCTGTGTCTGAGACCATTTGCATAACGCTTGCTTTTCTGTCGTAGCACTTAAGCAACAAATCGTATCGCCTTCCGCTGAACTTTCTCGCGTTTGCGAGCATTCGTTTCATCCGCTTGGTTCCACATACGTACTCGCCGCATATACCTGATGGAGCCTAACTAACGTGAAATAGCATCACTCATCATTTTGATCGCATCTATCTACAATGCGCTTTATAGAACCGAGTTTCTTAGTTGCTATACCGCATATTTTCCGAATATATGTGCTCTAGTTTAAGTTATTGGTAAGGGTGATTCCAAGAAATTCAACAGAGTCGGCTACATTAAAATCGTTCCACTAACTATGTGGGGTGGTTCTGACGCAATTGTTTCCTTTCGAAGAAATTTACTACAGAGCATTTATTTACATTAATATCTAGAAAGGGAAAGTGTTTGATGTACTTGGCGCGATAAGGCGTTCACCCAGGAAAATTCACGAGGAGAAACAGACACGAAAAAAGTCTGACGGAACCAGGACACGAACCCGGGTCTCCCAATTACCGGTTGGTTGCTCTCTATCTATTGAGCTATCCCACCAGAACATTTCTCCATGCCGTTTTGGAGACTTTGCAGGCAAGGGGCTTTCTTCGTGTCCGTTTCTCCTTGGGAATTAACATCTAGTTGCCATGTTTCGCACCTCCTTTGTATATGAGCTCAGTCGTTTGAGAGTTAAGCGCTATCTTCGTCATTTGATATTTCTCTATATATTACCGAGTCATCCGTAAATATCCTCACATTGCTATCAACCTTATCACTCAGGTCAGTGATATAAATCAGGAAGGGTAGAGGTCCGATTACGCTGCCTTGAGGTACGCCTGAAGATATTGAAGTGTCCCTTCTGTAAGACGACTCTCCGCACCACAATTAATAGGATTTTTGTTATTTAATGACCCTTGAATAAATGGCGTATTCCCTGAAGACGTCATGGATTCCCGAAAAGTCACTTGTCTTAGACGAAAACCTGGTGATCCTAAACGTAGGTGGATATGGTAAGGCACCTTCGATCCGCCCCAGTAAGACCTGTCAGTCGCTCCTTGGTTATTATCTGGAACGACTCTACGGAGATTGTTTAAATCTGTCCAACCAAAGGCCTTTCTCTCCCCTCCGGAACGGGATGAGGGCAATAAGAGGGTATAATTTGCCTTAGAAGAATATTGGCATTCCTTGTAATTTGCGGAAAATAATATTATTACTATAATCCCCCAAGGGAAGATTCCTGTTGAAAAATAAGCTGGATTACTGTTCAAAAAATCTCACACGAGGAATGTCCTTTTGTATGGGTGTGAAACATGGACTATAACAAAAGCAGATGATATTCAAATTTTTTTTGCCCTTCTCTTTATAGCAACCTTTCTGTTTGAACTAGTTAGTTATATATGTATGCATGGTGACATTTAACGCAAGTTAAGTGCGGTTCAAGTGAAGTAGTGCTTTTACCAGAGGTGGGTAAGCTATCTTTTTGGTTATTATTCACAGCCTTTCAGTCACTTCCTGAAACAAATGCTTCTTTTGAGACAAGTTTATTTCCCAATCTTCCTGAGTATGCCAAAAAAAAATGAAAAATATTGTAATTTATTTCAGTCAGCATATAAATTCATTTTTTGATGTTGAACTACTTGAATGTATGTGATATACAAAGTGTGGTGAGATGGCGTTTCTTATACTGCCAAAAGGTAAAGTGGCCGTTTGATTGAAAAAGATTCTCTAGTTTTGGTTTATATCAATGGCAGCCCTTTTGGCAACCTCGGAGATTTATTTTTATACACAATAATAAATTTCTATGGTTACGTTTGACTTAGCCTACAATAGTTTAGAACATATTTTGAATTGAAGTAAATATAACGTTCTTATTTATCATTAATGCATTCTAATTGATACCTAACCTACACTGAAATTACTCAGCTCATTTTCACTTTGTTTACATTTGTTTAGATCAAGCGATGTCCTTAGCCTTTTGATCGAACAAGGTTCTCTAGTTTTGGCATATACCATTGGCAGAAGCAAAACCCTTTTGGCAACCTGGTAGATTTATTTTTATACACAATAATAAATTTTTATGGTTACTTTTGACTTAGCCTACATTAGTTTAGGACATTTTTTGAACTGAAGTAAATATATTTTTAAAATTTTCATTGATGCATTCTAATAGATACCTAACCTACACTGAAATTACTCTGCTCTTTATCACTCTGTTTAAATTTGTTTAGCTCAAGCGATATCCTTAGCCTGAAAGGAATCCTTCCAGCCTCGAAGTTTCATTTATTGTCTTCCTTTCAAATCATAGTATCTCTTAATTTCATGATGCACTACTTTGTTCCAACTTTTAACTTCTTTGCCTAGTAATGTTCTTTTTGTAAATTCATGATATCTGGATCAGTCTCAATTTGAATAAGTAGAAATAAATTCATTTTGTTTCAAAATACTTATGTTCACACTTTGGTTTTGGCACTATTCATTACATTAAAGTTTTGCATTAGTTATATAGGTAACATAAGTTGTATGTAAACTTCTTCTCAGTGATAGTTTTACATTTAATTTAGGATAGTTAGACTGATATAACTTCTCACAAATTTTTATCAGTTTCTTTATGATTGTTTTATCCCATCTGTGCTTGGCATATTTGAACTATGTTCACATGGTTCCATATTCAGCAAGAATATTGTGGGAGCAATTGCAAGATAGTTTTGTGACTGCTTTCTCAGACTCCTGGAACTGCACCAGAATAACGAGATACGTCACCACAGTGGCTGCCATCTGCAGAAGAAAGCTTGTATTATGTCAAGTCATTGTAAGGTAAAACAGCTACATTTTTTTCACTTTTGCTTATCTGGGATCTGGATGAATACACTCAGTTATTAGCTAATAGATAGGAGGTTTCACTGTCTTGATGAAAAATCAGATATCAAGGATAAAAAAAGACTCTGTGCATTTTCATTCACATCCTTTCGAAGAGAAATGGTAGAAAGAGCTTTACATCCAATCTGTTAACTGCCTGACCTGAAAGGTGCAGAGTATGGGCTCTATTTTTCATTTTGCAAAAGTTGCAATTCTGTGGTGATTCCAGAGTCCATCATTGATTACACTCCAAACTGCTGTTTATCTGATTGATAGCATTACTCTTTAAATCTAAACACCTAAAAATAGATACAATTATTTTCCAGCATAGCTTTCAAAATGTGCGTAATAATTTCTGCAGTGTGAGACATTACTTATGTCTCATCTGTTTGCCATTTTCCACTGTTTTAGTATTCCTTATATAACTATTAATCATTTTTTTCTTGAGAAAAAGCAAACGTTATCAAAAAACATGAGTTCATTTAATATAAGCATGAAGAGAATAAGAATAGTTGTACTTTTTCCACAGTATATTTATTATTAAAAACAAACAATAAAAACTCACTAATGATAATAAACGGCGAATGATCGCCATCATCACTTGATGATGGCAATCATTCGCCGAAACTAGTTGTGAGTTTTTATTGTTTGTTTTTAATAATAAATATACTGTGGAAAAAGTACAACTATTCTCATTCTCTACATGATTTATTTCCACAAAACATCGCCAGCAACTGTGAATTTTATTTTTAATATAAGCATGTTTAGTTGGTGGTCCACATGTTAACAATAAGTTTTCAAGTGATTAACAATGTGCTCTCTTGAAACATTTCTTTAAAATATGTTTACCAGAGAAAGTTCAAGTAGTAGTAGTATTTCAAAAAGTGTTTTGACAACTAAAACTATTTTGCACAACCGTGCCCTAGCTGGGAATCAAACCCAGGACCTCTTTCACGAAAGGCGAACATGCTACCCCTTGTCTATCTGGGGGCAGAGAAAGTTCAATTAAACTTACTGATGCAGTACTAAATCCACATTATTTACATTTTATACTTTATAAATTTTGATGACTTTGAAAAAAAAATGACACCATTCTCTTGCATTTTCTTTCTGAAATTCATGTGAAGCCCAACAGTTTGTGGAATTCTGAGTCTTTTGTCCATTGAAGTGAGTTGAATAGAAGTACATTAATTTGGGAAACAGAAAAATCAACATGCAATCTCAAAGACCATCACTAATAGCTAATCATTATTTATATACACTTCATAATCAAACCTAGAACCTTTTCCTTTTTGATCTCATCCTCTTTCTATTTCCTCTGGCATAGCCATCAAATCTTCATAGCCTAGAGCAGAGTTTCCCAAACTTTTCCTCCGACGGAACACTTTATCAATTTTATGATATCAGCGGAACACCTGGGTTACTTTTTCTGTCAGTAATAATTGATTTGATTAAAGTAAGAGTCAAGGGTTTATTGAAAACACAATCTTTTCATAAAATCAAGAGCCCCTGATTTTTTAACATGTTATAACTTCATTCAGAACTGAAATTCATACAAGAATTATCATTCTTCATAAGTTTCAGCAGAACACTTACAAACTCTTCAAGGAATACCAGTGTTCCGCAGAACATACTTTGGGAAACCCTGGCCTAGAGAATTCACTGCAATTCCATGTAAGCAGTCATTAACAAATTTAGGGGAATAGGGAAATTTTAGGGTTTTCCAATGGCATGCTTTTCAGATAGTTGATATTTACTGATGTAAGGAGATTGAAGTCCAGTGGGAAGAAGCCAAAGGCAGTGAAATGGAATTTGGTGTGCAGTAGTTGAAGAGAGAAGAGATGGAGCTGAAAGGAACACATTTAGTATTCAAATCACCAACTTTGAAATCATCAATCATTCTTATTTTATATGATAAACCCCTAGATTGCTCATAACTTTCATTGAACAATTGTGCGGTTTGTTTCTTTGTTCTGGCTCAATTATCCATCCAAAGTGGCTGGGAAAACCAAACTAAGGTTGAATGTGATGTACAGCTGAATGAAAGAGAATTTTAAATTACTGAAATTTGAAAGGAAAAGGCCCAAAATGTTGGTAAGGAAGGTGAATATAAACTCTGGATGAATGTAAACTAATGCACAAATATGATGGAGACAAGGAGACTGAAAGCAGTTCATGAAAATGTTGTCTTATTTTTAGCAACACAAAATATGCTGTTAATTCAACAAGGAGGATGATGCAAATTGATGAACTATACAAAATATGCTGATAGAGCACCAAAGAGAGTACTACAGAAGTGAATTTGGAGCTAATAAAGAGAATTTGGTTCTTAAAATGGTTAAATCAGGAACCTTTAATTGGCAAGTAAACCTTTAGCGGTTGACCTCCAGGACAGCTCAGTAACTTAAAGTATGAACTTGAGATGCAAGAGTATGGAGAAGTACCCTGTGAAATCATGATAGAAAGATTAAATCATTAAAATAGTAAATAAGACTATAAATGTGGGCTTTGTAGTCAATTAAGAAGTTACTGATTTAGAAAGTTATTTAATACTATTTGGACTCCAACAATACAAAAACTGTCAAAAATTCCTTAATTTATGGTGAATTCCCATAAACACCAAGTGAAAAGTTCTCTTAATTGTTCTCATGTAGTCATACTTTCATTTGAGCTGAATTTTAATTTAATTTAATTTTAGCTGTACCTCTGCAATAATTTAGTTAGCCAACATACATGTTAAATTCATGAGAGATTCTATTCATTATTAGTTAACCAGCTCCATGGATTTCTTGGAAATTTAGCTGATTCTGTAGTCTTTTGAGATTCTTTCAACTTCAACTGCAACCCAAAGTAAGCATCTCTTCTATTGTGACTTCAATTTTGACTCTATAGCCTGGAGGATGTATTGCAAATTTCTTTGTTAAATAAAGATGGGAATGAGATACTGATTTTCTTGTGCTTAAATAACCAAAATGATATAGGTCAACTTCACAAAAAGCCAAAGAGAAGGAATTAAAATACTCAATAATAAAATTGAAGTCNTGCCCAGAATGTGGGAGACCTGTGTTCGAGTCCCTGTCATGTCGCTATTTTTCACACTTGTTATTCTTTTGCGACCAGCTGCATGACTTTATCCTGCAGTATTACACCTTTCCTTACTCCTTAATACATCAAATGTTATAATTTAATAAAGGTTTTAAAGACAGTGGAAGATATCTTGCCATCAAATTCCAATCCTTTGATCAACTGAATGTTGGTTATGAAAATATTGTTTAGAGCTCTGCATAGCCAAGTGGGCAACACATTCGACTTTGGGTTTGATTCCTGGTGGGGGCCTTCATGGAAATGACCTCAGCAGTTGAAGCACTTTTAACAATACCATAACATACTAATATAGTTGGAATAAAATGGTTATTAGAAGAGAAGGTTGCTGATTTTAATATCATAGGATTTTCCTCTGAGACTTGGTAAATTTGAGCTCCACAAACTCTATTGGCAGCCTATTGGAATGCCTATATATTTCTGCAGTTTAGTCAACTGTTTTGTCGATGATATAATAATTTTCTCAATTAACTACCAAGGATCATTATAGGAAAAAATAGAGAAATGGTCTCAAGACTAACATCAGCAAAATCTTTTTTATTTTCATGCATATGTCACATTGCAGATGAAAAGAATGAATGCATCAGCTATGATAGACAAAGGATTTATTTAAGCATATGATTGCTTTTACTCTATCATGAATGTGACAATGTGTGGATGGTGAATGTTAAAATTAATTAGCATCTGTGGTTCCTGCTCATAAGTATAGAGATTCATTAACTAAAACAGATTAAATGAAAGAAAACATAAAAAATGTATCATGCATTGTCAGATGTAAGAGTTTTTGCATTAGATGTATGAACCTTTGCTGCAAACTCCAAATATTATTCAAAGCCACAAATGTCCCTTATTTTGGATAACTTTTAAAAAATCACTTTCTAAATTTTTCCTCTCCTTCAGTGTCTTCAATAATAGATTTAGAAGAAGATGATCTGCTTCAGATACAAGTTTCCTCTCTGTTATCTTCCTTCAGTACAATTTATTTCTTCAATTAAACCTCTTTCTTTTCTAAGCTTCCCAATTAATCTGCCATTTTTTACTTACAACTGCTTGACATTTGCCTATTATTGCTAAACCTACTTCACTAGGTACCTTTGGATATTTCTTTCAGACAAAACTCTTGGATTTTGCTTATCATTTTTTTTCAGTTAAAACAAGCAATCTCATCATATATTTTATAAATTAATATTACTTCACTTAACTCCACCCCCCCTCCATCTCTTTTGTATGGCATTCATTTATATTGGTAAGGGCATTTACAAAAATAGGTTTTAATTATTGATTGTAAATCTTCCTCAGTGTATCTTAAATTTCCTTTCTTTCTCTGTGTTAACCTTGAATTATTAACTTTCTTCCCATGCCTTTTTGCTATGTGAACCACCTATTATCATAGTCATAATGCTATCACATCTTCTTCACATCACTTCACTTGCAGATGCTGTATATACTCATGTATTAGTAAATCTTGCATATTGGCGAATCCCTAATGCATTAAATCTAATATCCATTTTTTATGTTCAGTTACTTTCAAATTAGGCTTTTAGGCAAATTATTTCAAGTTAACAACCACCATTCATTTTGATTGTTGTAATATATTGTTATTGTACATCATTGCAGACCTGGCTACAAGCCAATTGGGAAGGTCTTATCAAGTTAAATACATTAATGGGAGCCATAAAAATGTTATGCTTATAAAACATTCAGTTATATCATTACACATCCTATTCGTAACTCTTAAAATTAAATTAATATCTAGTATTCATCCTTTTTGTAGCGTCTTCCATTCCCACTCCAATCCATATATTCCTTTCTAGTACAATATGTCTATACTATGCAGTATCCCTTTCTAGTACAATACCATGATTCAGTAGTATTACTATTAAGGCATAAAATATATGTTACTATATGCCTTGATAAATTGATATTGGCTTGGCTTTGATAAATTTCCTAACCATTACTGCCAGTTGTCATGGAGTAAACATTCTTTTGTTAGTTCATACTGAGACTATGAATTCATAAAACCCTTAACTTCTCAATGCACAAATCCATAACAGTTTACCAAGAAAATACTATGTTATTGTAAAAAATTAATTTCAGTCATCAAATAAATTACAATATCTTTAGTTTTTCAATTGATTAATCTGATCTTAAGGAAAATATTAATTGAATATTGCATTAATTGTAACACATAGTACAATAGGGCACAGGGAGAAATTAAGTAAGTACTTTAATGAATGAAGAACTTATTCCTTAATATCATAATTGCTTCTAGTATTGGAAAAGAGCAAATTGAAATTTATAAATCTATGAGTTACTTATCTATGAGTTACTTACCTCCCTTCTAATTTGATGATCCTTTACCTTCAGTATCATCTCTGAAAGTAACTTGCTTGTTTTATCAGACTTCCACCAAGTTTTCAGAAGGAGTATGGGAAGAGAAAAAAGAGGATTATTACTGAAATGCTTTACAGTATTGGTGATACAGATTGCTAGTAAGTATACTGTAGATGAAATGCAGTACAAGAGTATATTTGATGGGATTTACTAGAGGATTAGAATGTTGTTCTATCAAGGGATTGAGTCTCTTAAACACAATGTTACTCAATGAGAGGATTAAATTAGTTCTGAAGTGATATAAATTACGGTATGGTAGGATGAAGATATTAACCATAGCATTTTGGGATAGACATTAACCATATGTGGATGCTTTGAAAGAAAGGTAACATTTGTTGTGTGTGTTTTTTGAGAGTTAATTGCAAAGTTATATTTGAGTAAATGCCTATTCATTACTTTGATATTATGATCAAATTCTTTACCCAATAGACTTAGTATCGACTTTGCTCTACATATTCTTAAAATTTTCGAAACTTTAGCTGATAGAAATGATATAATGTGGAAGTGATATGTTTTCTGAAATTTGATTTGGAAAGATATTTCCTTTTTATCTGTATTGATGTTTATCAGTGGTAGAAACATTTTTGTGATAAGGCATGAGAATAGGGTAACAAAGAAAGCTCAGGCAGAGAAGAGATTGCATATAAATTTCAGCATTCCAAGAATAGGGTATAGACTTATCTTTAGCAGACATTTAACCGGTTGAAAGGCAATGAATAAGTGAGAAATTCACAATTATGAATGTGTACACTGAATCCTTTTCAGGAAATGAAATTAAATATGCAAGTGAACTCCTTCAGTAATTAATATTCAGAGACAATCTTCAACTACAATAGAGTTCCATGTGAGGAAGGAAGATATTGTAGTAAATAGAAGAAACCAATTTACCAAAGAAAGTTCTAAGGGAGATATCTTAGGATTATTCACATTATTTCTTTTAGGAACTCAAATGTATACTTGTATTAAATTCATGTGAGAATTATACAGACGGTAACTGGACTGTCTAGTAATTTGACAGACAACAGGCATCAACCTATAGATTTTGATGCTAGATTATGGAAAATAGAGAGAGAGAGAGTTTTATATCTATAAGTGTACAGGATGGTAGGTGAACATTTTCATGGATAATTTGTCTCACTTCATGAACGTTATAAATGATTCGCATTCAATGAATAGCTCTTAGCACAATTTCTGTATAATGTATTCGTATATGTGAAAAAGGAGAGCCATCAGGTATACTTAATTTGCGGTAGGAAGGCACTTGGTGTCCCAAGAGAGGGTAAAAAAGTGGATTAAATGCAATTTTCCTCGGCAGAAATTTTTTCCGCTTCTGAAAAAACTTCTAATGTCTTTATTTCGGGAATAACTTCTACCGTCTTTTCGTTTCATCCAACTTCATTTGACTTTGTCTTTCCCACCGTCTTTTCCTTGAAGTATCTCATTCTGTCATTTTCTTTCCAATCCCTCTCCTCCAATATATGCCATACTCTGCCATAATTTCAGTTCTTCAGACAAAGCCGTCTTTTCTACCATCTTCTCTAGCACCTTTCTGTTTGTGTTCCTACACTCCTCAACTTGATTTACACAGTTTTACTCTAATTTCACANCGGAGAAACAGGAGTGACAAAGATTACAGAGTAATGAATAAATTATGATTAATAGAACATGAATATTGAATGATGATTACATGAATGAGTCAACCGGCTGAGGAGGATAGAGAAAAATTAGTTGAAGGTGTTGAATAAGATGTTGAAATGATGCTCGCAGATGTAGGAAGATTTTGAATAAAAAATTATAGACGAGGTGAGCTGAAAAGTAAGGCAATAAAAGGTCTCACGGACACAATTTATTCTGCAGCCTCTTGAAATGATAGGCATTATCAGACACGTGTATGCACTACTTTTCAATGTACCTTGCTGGACCTTCTCAACATACCTCGATCAAAATATCTTGCTTGTCCAAAACCTTGTTTTATTTGAAGAACAAAAACTAGATGCAGATGTTAAAGAAATAAGAGTCAAGACTATGAAGTCATGTTCACACGGTATTTGGAACTTCCCTATCAATTCCGAATTGTCTATCAACAAAGCGCTTCTTCGGTGGCCCATTGAGATGGAAGTCACTGGGTACAAGGTCATGGAGGATGTTTGGGAAGGCTCTACCGGAAGAGTTGCAACCAGTCACAAGCATGCGTTTGGTTTTCGGTTGAAATAAATGTTTGCACGATAGCAGACGACCTCACCATGTTCGCCTCCTCCATTAATAAAGAGTAAGTTGTCCGGTACCTCCAAAGGGCGGTAGATGAGATGGACAGATACTACGAAAAATGGACAATTAACCTGAATTGGGAGAAAACGAGAACGACTCTCTTCCAACCGTATAAGCGAGCAAAGCCGAGGTTGCATGTGGAGCTAGATGATCATGTAATACCCTAGAGGCAGGAGGCAACATACCTTTGGCTACGGCTTGATGCAGGGCTGACGTGGAAACACCATATGTGAAACACATCATATGTGAAACTTAGGATAAGGGGGGCAAACAGAAGGCTGCGTCCCCTTCTCACCAATAGCCGAATTCACCTAAGGAAGAAACTGAAGGTCTACAAGTCCTGCATCAGGCCTACAGCAGCCTACGGAGGACCCCTGTGGAGCTCGGCTGCCAGATCAAGAATGCAGACCATCGAAGCGGAGCAGAACAGGGCGCTGAGGAACTGCCTGGGGATCCCACCATTATTCTACACCCGCAGTGCCTCCGTCCGAGCAGAGACCAAAACGGAGGAGCTGGCCGAATGATTAAGGGGAAGAAATTCCTCACCTCGGCCAGGCACTCCAAGCTCAAGACAGTAGCGGCTCTTCTCCGCAATGAACCACATCCCGGTGACTCCTACAAAAGGCCTGTTGCCTCCGTCGACAAGGCGCTCTGGCCCGCCTCTAAACGTCCCGAAATGAGTTAGACTATATCAAGTAAAGAGAAGGAGGATAAAAAGAAGAGAAATAGAATCCAACATGGATAGCAAGTCAGCAAGGCCCCCCCAATATCAAAGATATGGGGCCAGCCAGAAGAAACAGCAGTGGCTACGTTGAGAAAGAGTGTGTACAAGTTTCTTGTAATTCATATCATTTTTGAATGCACTATTTAAAGCACTTGTTAGCTTAACTTCGGATACATCCATGTATAAGTATGTTGTTTAAGGTAAATACATAATAATATATATGTTTTTAAACTTACTCGTTATCGTCAAGTACCTGTGCATAAAGCTTCTCAGCCGCGTTTGCCACCAGTAACAGCAAGGCGGAATGAGCTATAATCCAAAAAGATAGATTGATTCTCAGTAGTAGATCGAATTCGTCACTTATGTGGAAAACTTTAGTGTCAACACATGAGTACAAAGAAAAGCATAGACTTGAAACATTATAAAAAGCGAGGAGAACAATTTGAATCCCGTACACGGATGCGGCGGATTTTGATGCTTCACACACTCGAAGATGCACTTTTTTCAGCAGCGAGACGTCTTCGGAGAGCGATGGTTGTCGGTGGTAATGCCTCACTCTGAGGATCGATTCCGAGATCAACGATTGAGTTCCAAAGTTCAGTGCGGCGAAACATTTTCGGAGAAGGAAAACGGCCACGTAAAACTGCCAAACAGATTGCGTGTGCACCAAAAAGAAATACTGAGTGAAAAGCATGTGTATTTCGGTCGTTGAGAATCCGAACAGTTTGCTTATCATAAACGAAACCACGGCCGAGTTGAGGGGCATCAAAAGGAATATAACGGACTGAATCTGAATTGATCTTCGAATGCGTGGCGCATACTGCGCTGCCTCGGGAAGCGTTTCCCCCAATTGCACCAAATCCAGAAAAACTCTTCGAACTCTTCGTTGCTTCAGAAGGTGAATTTAAGCACACAGACAGCCAGCAACAAAATCGGTCTCAGACCAAATCAACCTTACATATTTAGTCTCGCTTCCGGATTGGTCATATAAAGTGTATTCCATCGTAAATCCAATACAACTGTAGGCAGAAACGAAAACGAGGACGGTAAACAAAAGGTAATGAAGAGTGACGGTCCATCTCCTGGGTTTTGCATTCCGCTCGACAGCAAAAGGTGATATTCCAGTGAATGTGTTGATTATAAACATCGGAAAAATTGCCCAGAGGAGGTCTTCGGGTTTCTTTTTGTCCATAGTCACAAGGAGGAGAAATCGGTGTAAACCAGCAAGTGTATGGCCAAACTCCCGATGATCGCCTAACGTTGTGTTCTAGTGATAGCGGAGATCTTCTAGCGTACAGTAGCTCTGGCCTGGTTTATTCGTAAAGCCTCGATTGTCATTTTCATCACATTGGTCTTCTGTTATACACATTTTAACTTCCTAAAAAGTATCCCTACAAAGATAGGAATCGATATGTTTATTTTAAAATAGATTTTTGCTGTATTCGTCAATGTCCTTGACGCGCTTGCAAGGTGGCTTTTAATTGCACAAACATCCTCCAGAACGAACCATGGAAAAGAGAATCTTTTCAACATGGTGTGAACACGCAGGTATAATGAAGATGAGTTTGCAGAAGTGTCCAGACTGTTTGCAAATCATCTATTGAAAATGAACCAAATCAACGTTATATACATTTTAACCTCTTAAAAAGTATCTTTTCCAAACTTGGAATCAATATGTTTGATTTAATTAGAGATACAACAACTATACACTGTAATAATATTTCTGATTATGAGCTTTCATCGCTGTATCAGTTTATCGTGGAGGTGGAAAGAGCAGCAGTATTTAGTTGCGGTATTACTATTTTGATTGTTCTAGTCATGCTTCTTTATGGTGGATGATGGTGCAGAGATGGGATGATATCATAAACTACCTCCGGGCTGCATGCTGTTCAGACAGAGTGGATCTCCACTTTCTTGACATTGGTCATGCCTGGCATTTTTGGCATAGTTGAATTCATTTTATGCATTTCAAACTCTATTGTTTTCATCGTTGTTTCAGTATGTGAGAAAACGTAGAGGGGAAACAGCCGAGGACTCCTGAGTTTCAGTTTCTCTAGGTTCGAAATTTTCATGTGCTCATCTTTGGGTCGTTTCTTCAATTTTCAATCGTAGTCCATTCAGAGCTCTTGAACTGCACCAAAATAACTAGATAAGTGACCACAGTTGCCGTCATCTGCAAAAAATATATTTAAGAACTATTACGGATTGGTTAGAGATTAATTTCTGGATGTGTTACTGCTTGGGAAGCTTATCGATAACATATTAAAAAATAGCTTACGTATAAAATAAATCTTGTTGAGGGTAAATTTGTAACCAAGTGATTTACTGGTCACATTGTAAGTGATCAAGTGATCACATTATAACAAACATTAAGTTACAACGAAGCTTAATACTGTCATGCTCGTGATGTTAATAACAAGTGTATCCGCGGAGACAATTCAGGATCAGTTCGGAACTGCCGCGCATGCGGTATTCACGTTTTTTGAACATTCGTGAAGACAAGGGAAATCATCCTGCGCATGAGTCCCAGATCCGAAATGATTCTGTCCCCTTGAATACACCTCATTTATTATATTATACCGTACGTCTACTTCAGTATATTGGATTTTATGAATATGTTACTCATTCACAGCTCTTTCTGGTACCACGGAAGTAAATCTGAGAACCTCCTCATAGCAAATAATATCTGAGCCTTCAGTGGATGACAAATAGCCATCATTCCATTTCATGGGCCTTCCTGCATTATGATGTTTACCAGTATACCTTTGCTTTTTAAATAATTCAAATCAACTATAAATGAGCACTAAAATGCAGAATTTACACTTTTACAAAATGTATTCTGTTAAATTGCTGTGAATAAGTTTTTTTTTAAGTTTCTATTCATATTGTATACGTTTGATGCTCTCGTATTGTGTATTTATAATTTTTATTCAGGCATTTTTACAATATATCAATGGCAAATCATCAGCAGATTATAGTTAATTTATCCTCGGGGTTTCCTGTCGGAGGTTTGACGACACAAGAGGGTCGATGACACTTGTGGATTATGAGAATTAGTTACAGATATGCACCAATATAATTGGTCCTGGATATCCTTACTAGCATATATGTATTTGAATAAATGTTCACAAACATATGTGAAGAATGTCCGGAAAGTAAGAGGATGATATTAAATGGCCAAAAACTGGTTAATTGTAAAAAGTGGAGAAAATATTTACCTACATATAATATTTCGCGATCTACTTGTCGATTTACGCGAATGGCGGGATTTTCAAACGAAAATTTTGCAGAAACAAAAGTCTAGTTGTTCCTAAGGTCAGAATAATTTCTAATCCTTAAGAGTATGGAACGTACCCAGTAAGTCTAGAGCGAATCTGTTTAAAAGGGTTACAAATTTGATACTCATCTTGTAAGTAATAAGCAAGGTTGAAATTTGTTGTACAAGTGGAATTATAATGATTTTACGTAGAAACTACTAGATATACTAGTAATAAGCACTCGTTAATTCTCACTCGAACTTGTGAATTAAAAAAGTGATAGTTTGCTTACCGACGTGAAGAGCGTCAAGTCCAAAGGGAAGAATCCGCAGGCTGAGGATCGGAACGGAGTGTGGAGAAGTTGAAGAGCGAAGAGGCGGAGCTGAGAAATAATAGATAAGAGCATGAACTTTACCTCGGCTGACCAATACTCAGTTTCTGGACGCCTAAATTGACCGACATCTCGTTTGGCCGACTTCTCAGTTAAGGACAGTGTCACTTAGACCGACACTCAGCTTTCTCCTCGGCAAAATTAATCGATACCAGGGAAATATAATGGACGTAGTATTTTCTGCTTTTTGAACTATTAATAGTTACAGTTTCTTGTAATCTTGTACAGTATCTTGTAATCTATCTTGTAATTTGCTGTTATGTATCTTCTTGTTTTGAGAAATAGATGCGCTCTTAAAAGTCGTCCAGCAAATGTATTTCGATGCAGTCATTATGTTCTAAGTATCCTACCGGCGCACAGTGGGCTGGAATCGAAAAAAGCTGGCCAAAAATAAGAAAATGGTTTTTTGGAGTGCGGACTTTGAAACTTCGCATGGCTATTCTTAAATAAATTCTGCATATAAATACCACACCATTTACTTTTACTCCCGTTCATTAAAATTCTACAGGGGGTCAAAGTTGACCAAATTTTACGAAAAAAGTCGGTCTTCGATTTTTCACAAATATCTTTAATTTCAAGCCAACACTGAACCCAAACTAGCAAAATCATCGGGTAAAAACGATGCTGTATTATAAACCTATTATTACCTATGCTTCATATTACTTGGTTTGAATGATCACAGTAGAATATTTTCATAAGTTGTACAACGAAATGGCGAACCCATATTTTACGGCAAATTTTCACTTAAAGCGAGGAAAATAGTAGTGATGTACCACGATGTACACGGGCTTACTTATACCACGATGTTCTTTGAAGCTTCCTTTAGAGGAATCTAAAATAAAACCCTGCGACAATTTGCGACGCCGATTTATACACCCAATTTTAGATGCCGATGCAAGAGCCATATCTGCGCGGCGGAGCGACACCCTGAATGACGAACTCGGATTTGAGAGGATAAACGCGCGGCGTTATGCGAATTTACGCAATGAAATTCATTGCCTCTTACCTCTCTCCTTACTGGATAGTCCTCAACCTTCAGCATGGCATCGATCACTAACTTCTCCGTTTTGTCCACCTGATAAAAACAACAGGATGTTTATTTTTGTTAGTGAAAAGTTGATGCCTTACATGACATCTTGGTGTTAATCATAGAAAAGGATTTTACAGCTCTTCGATCCGAGAAAGGTTTTTCCGTTATATCTGATCGTTTTTAAGACTACCAGGGAGTTGCTGTTCTCTAGGCTACATTTCACACGATTTATATGTCGTCGGAATGAATCCGAATGGAGAAGGGGTCGAACGCAGAGAGAGGAAAGCAGGACATCATTTATGAAGAAACGACGCCGACGTCTCTTCGGTGTGTTCTTTATGTTTAATATTCCTCTTGGTCTTTCACTCCAAAATCTTTCTTTCTTTTACCATTTAATTTGCTAAGTGCCACTAATTCTGCGTTTATTTGCCCGAATGATGGATTAAATATCCAAGCCGTAGAAGGGAAGAAAAACTTTCTCCTACTATCTTCATTTCGCTGAGGTGACACTAATAAAAACTAACAAAATCCGTTATTTTATCATATTAGCATGCTAAAATTAAATTGTAAACAGTGTAAAAAAAAAACATTTTTCTTTGTCGTTCAAAGAAAATGGTTTATTATCATCAATTGGACTAACTTCTCAAAAGTGTTAGCGACTATATTCGACGGCGTTAATTAGAACTCACGTCCTCTGAGATAAAAACGTTTCCTGCGTAGAAGTCGCTACAAAAGCAGCTTACTTTTTTTTCCATACTTTCATCGGCAGTGATTTGAGCGACTGTTCTCGGCATAACGTTACTCCAGTAGAAGTGGATGAAGGACTTTGGGTTCAATCGTCACACTTTTGGTGATGAATCTCGGCGAAAACGGAGTGTTATTTCCGATCGTCTTAGGATTATTAATAAACTTTTTAATTTGCTACTACAAGTCACTGGAAGCTCGCAGGGAAATAATTCATACACTCCTGTGATGTGTATATCTTTTGGTGGTTCAGATCATATTCTCACTAATATATCTCTAGATGGACAATTTCGCCATACGTATGACAAACCACGTGCGTTACGTGGTTGCTTAACTTAAAGTTTCAGTTTAAAATATTGCATAAACAAAGGCGCATGGAGATGAGCGGCCGGACCCGTGTCTGTTATTTTTGTGCAAAGAATGTCTTCTGAGAGATTCGTGTTAATCCGCGTGGCACAAACCTGACGTGTTCCTTGTGAGTTTAACTACTTCTCAGGGTACGAGCCTTCCAAAAATAAACGGGCGTCTCTAATTAGAGAGTGTATGTATCTGTGTATGTTCTTTGTAAATTCAAGAAATAGATGTATAAAAACGTACAAACTTAGCTTAGTATTTAAAGTCAAAGCGGCGAATATATTACACTACTTAATATTTACCATTCGGTCACCAGGTTCGCACTAAACGAGTCAAACTTACATATAAGAAATACATGGTGTTATTTTTTCAGTTACATGCAGTGTTTAATTTGCGAAATTAAATTAAAATATTTT